AGTCCGAAATACTCCATATTTGTTTAATTGACTTACTGCCCATTCGCATCCTACGGCAAAGGAATGTCATAAATACACTACTGGTATCTGTGTTTACCGAAGGCTGCAATTTAGTGCTATTCTAGCATAAAGTGAATAGTGCATGCTCTATATTGTCGCCGGCTATATCGACCATTTCTACGTAAAGTATCATATGTCGAAATTGCCAAGTTTACAGGAGAGCGTTTTAAAGTTTTGAATTTACTGAAATGAACAAAACACATGATTTTAGCATTTCTCCGTTTTATTCGGCAAAGTCATTACTGACATAGAGTGATCATCTAATAGATCATCTAACCGATATCTGGGATATTATAATACTCTATGTGAGTAATAAGGTTTGCCGAATAACCGCTCACGCGATGCGCTCATCCTATCGCAAAATGGCGGCTATTTGGTTTCGCAAATTAGAAAAGGATTAGTTTAAATACAAGTTTTTAAAAATAAAAACTATTATTCTGCATTGCTAAATATATACCCTCCGTACTACAACAAAAACATCTCAAATAAAATGCAGTAATACACCGCAAATCCTGCACTTAAAAAGCACTAATGTAATTTTTCGTGTACTTGGATAAATATGATAATATTCCGTTTGAGTGGTTCTAATGTTTACCATGAAATTACTCCTTAAAGTATAGTTTATAAACATTTATATTCAGGGTAAACTTAAAAAACGCAACTTACGGTATGTTTTCAATAAATAAACACCGACATCACCCAAAAAATAACACACACACGATTGTCGTGACGTATTTTTAAAGTTGTTTATTTTTTTTACTTGACAGACCCAGGCATTAAAAACTTTATGGTTTGCTAGAGTAGTTACTGAAATAGCAATTAGTATTAATTTCTTTTACCTGTTATAACTTCGATATCCGATAAATCGGTATAAAATCATCACCGGCACCTCTAGGTGTGGTATGCTTCCAGAGACGCATGAATCGCGTGAGTGGATAAAACTGAGAAATGCTAAAGTCACGTGCTATGCTCGTTTCAGTGAATTCAGAACCTTAAAACGCTCCCCTGTAAACTTGGCAATTTCGACATACGACACTTAACGTAGGAGGGGTCAATATTGTCAGTTTACTTTCACTTTTTTTTGTAAATATGTTGCACGGTTACCTACTCCAACGTTTGTGAACCGATTTTGCTGATTTTGATTTGATTTTTCTGTTAGCAAGAGGGCGTCTCAGTATTGGTCTCATTTAAATTTTAAGAAAATATTCCACCTCTAAGGGTGGCAAACTAGGGGATGAATACTATTTCGCACATTCTCCGAGTAACCGATGTCAATAAAACTTGGCAAATAGATGTTTCAATAAAAACCCCGATAAGCAAACTTTGATGTCGGTTTTTTGTTGGTCAATGTCTAAAAGAAACGTAGTCTACTTCAAAAAACTTTTTCTTTAACTGAAACGTTAAGTTGTCCTTAACTGTTAAGTAAAACAACAAGTATTTTACCCGAATGTCGAACGAGTTTCGAGTTACGAGTATGTGATATGGGCGACGTTATAGTTTAGTATTGTTCACTTTGTATTGACATTCCGTTCTCCATGTTTTATTAAAGTTTTCTGCCGTGATGAAATTTCTGATGGTTTCTTGTACTTCTATGAAACTAGTTTGACAATATTATATAAGTTATATAATTGGGAACATATTTTTTCTTTTTGTAATTTTTCTTTACAGGTTTAGTGGTCACGGTTGATTAAGATGGTACATTCATCAATCAGTTCTGTCTTATATTAATGCAAACCTATGTTTCACTATTGTAACAGAAGATATTAAATTCGATTGTCAAATTTTCGAACTGAATAACGGTTTTTTTTTATTATGATATCAAGTGAATGACGCGACACGCCTGTCCACAGCAGATGCAGTGCCACTCAGAGACATGGGACCTGTCAACTTAAGTCTCAGAGTGACGGGCGCAGTGGCAATGCCCCTCAGATCTTTGCAATTTAAAGCTCAGAGTGGCACTGCAACTGTTATGGACAGGCGTGGCATGGTTACTGTTCGGCCACGGAGGCAGTTATCATATATTAAATATATTTACAAACATAAACACGCACCTATTCACAGAAACACACTTTCTATGTCAGTCATGTGCACGTTAATTTGAATTTTTTTCTCTTTTACATTCAGTCCTTTACAAAAAAAACATTACGTCTCAGTTAACTCACGAAGAGCCTTCTGACACAAAATTTAATTACTTAATAGGTTGGCCCCAACTTCTGTTTGTAGCTTAAGCCGACTGTACTTTGAAAAAACATTTTTTTGAATTATGATTATACGTGCGCATTTGACCTCCATCTCACCTGATGGAAAGTGACGATGAGGTCGACGTGTAGCACGCACACCTAAATAATGCCTATTCACTCTCGCCTTGAAAAGGTCTAAGTTATAGCGTTCAGGAAATAAGTCATATCAATAATAATTAAACTAAATCGCCGTTCGCCACATAGGTAAATCTGAAATCGGAAGGCATCGTTCGAATCCTTGGAATACTTATAACATAAGGGTAGAACCCGGTGATGAAAACCGGCAATTCTGAGTTTCAACATTCCAAGTTTTTGTAATTAAAATCCAGTCAGTCATTCTCCACAACCCAAAAGAATATATATTTTGCGTAAAATATAGTACCGAATACCGATCTCTCCATTCCTATGCGTTGATTGTTGCCTTTTTTCGACGAACCTCGACTTTTATTCTCTTTGTGCCATTTATTCAGCTTTGCCTGACGAGGTCAAGGTTGTATCTGAAAGATTTATGGCCAACCGTGTTACATTCTGAGACCTATTTGTTGCGTGAATACTGTGAGATATATTGTTCATGAAAATAAGTAATGACTAAGGCAAGGTAAGGCTAAGTACCAGAAAAAATTATAAACAGCGGGAAGTAAAAGTTAAAGAAGCAGAAATAAAGGAACGAACAAGTTTCGTATCAGTAGAACTCCTTGTAAAAGAGTCGTCCAGGGATGTACTCCCTTCTGCCGCCAAGCAGTAATATCAACATTAATGCGTTCCAATTTTAAAGAGTTAAGGGTGCTGGTGAAATCTAAGGCACATAAGACTTGTCAAATTACGTTTGAGGGTGACACGAGCAGTCGCAGTGATCCCTCAGATCTTTGCGATTTAAAGCCTCGAGTGGCAATGCGGTCGCTTACTACCAGGCACACGATTTGTTGGTCCCGTCACCTCGTGTTATAAATAATTGTAACTTAAAAAAAACCGACTTGACAACTTCATGGAATTACATCTATTTGTCAAGATTTATTGAAATCGGTTACGGGAAAGCGCGCGAGTACTGAGGTACCCTGTTTCCAACAAAAATAGAATCGGTTCACAGTTATAGCGTAACATACATACAACAAAAATACAGCCAAATTGAGAGCTTCCTCCTTTTTTGAAGTCGATTGAAAAGATACTTTCTAAATAAATAGAACTAGAATCTTTATAACTAGTTTTTAATGTAAAAGTAACACTCGCTTAGGCACAGTATAACCAGACGTTAAGCGACTTTGTAGCCGGCCTTACTATGCGTCTGTCTGTCTAGTATATACCTATTCACTCTAGGCTAGAATAGCACTAAATTGCAACTTTCGGTAACCACAGATACCGGTAGTGTATTACATTCCTTTGCCGTAGTATGCGAAGGGGCAGTAAGTCAATGATATAAGTGTGGAATATTCCGGACTTTCTAGTAGACCCAATATTATATAACTTTTTGAAAATACTCCTCAGTTTGTTATTATTATTGATAGAAAAAAAAAGATACTACGACAACGCAAAGAAGCCTTCGACCTGACTGAACACGAACCAGTGTCTGTTGCCACACCGAGGCTACAAATATTGCATTTAATATAGCGCCATCTATCGTCAGCCTCTGGTAGCTGTAAAGGTACCTGACAGACTGAGGAAACTTCCTTAAGTTTCTCAAAGGTGGCGCTGACGAAACAAAAGCATTTTAAACACAATACAAAGATCTTTGAAGTCGTGGTAGCCTAATGGTGCGACGTACCGCCTCTCAAGCAGAAGGTCGTGGGTTCGAATCCGGGCTCGCACCTCTGATTTATTTGAAATTTATCATAAACTTTTCGGTGAAGGAAAATATCGTGCTGAAACTTGCAGGTCGAAAAAGGTTCACAACCCTCGGAAAACGTGTGAACAACGGCCTAAAACCTCGTCTGAGGGTTGATGATGATGACAAAGATCTTTAACAATTCTCAGCTCAGTTGATAAGAGCGGTGGGGCAACACACGCTGCCTCTGGTTCGAAGTTAAAGTGGCTGGTCCAGCCAGATCGGAGGATTTTTCTTTATGTTGTTCGACCTTTGTGTCACCTTTGTGTGACCGTTGTTTTAAGTATTATATTCTATGGAAGAACATAAGTGTAGTATTCAACAAAAAGTATGAAAGCTGTGTTTGAATACGTGTTGTCTCCGAAGCGTGACAAGAATAGATGCAAACTTAGATTCTCTAGTAATCTAATTGAATTACACTACGTGACGACATAGTAAACTGAATTTTTCTCTGTTATTCTTGGCACGTAGGATTACTTACGTTTTCTTCTTTTAAACGCTACGTTCGGATTTTTGATGGAACTTTTATAGGCACCTATCTGGGGATCTTATTTAAGATTTAAGATCATTTTATACGTGTTTGAGAAATGTAGCATATCGTACTCAAGCTATAGTTTTATTTTTTTTGCTGGAAAAACGAGTAATAGATGTAACTATTATTATAACTTGAATTTGGCGCCCAACAAGGGACTAACTACAATAATAATTGTAAGCAATATTATGCATTGTAAACGGTAATACTATCCCAGATAACCAATCAGAGAGTGCATACGCTTATTTATTAATATCACTGATAAAGAAGCCTAAAGAAACATAAATGTAACCCACCGACTACTTAACAAATTGTTTGCGTTATCAAGTTGTATTTTTGTTTGTTACAGGAGAAAGATTGATTCAGTTCGCATCAGAAAATCTGGTGACAGAGATTCTGATCCACCCTCAGATGAACACGCTGATGCAGTGCATGCGAAATCTGCTCAGCTCATTTACTAGACACCGGCACCTTGTGCACGCAGGATATACTTTTGCGGGAAATGGCTCCTGGATAATGCAGGTAGGTGATCATTATTTTAAAGCCCAAAAATTCCATTCTTACGTTTAACCGTAGCTACGAACAGCAATGTGATGTGACCCCGCTAGCACAATTTCTCAAGTCCCAGCCTTATGCCTTGGACCATTATTTTATTAACTTATTATGACTTCGAAAGTATTGATAGCTATTTTGTAACCGCTCTCACGCGATACATGCAGCCGTTGACGCATACCACACCTAGATGTGCCGGTGATGATTTTATACCGATTTATCGGATATGGAAGTTATAACAGGTATAAAAACTAATATTAATTGCTATTTCGGTAACTACTCTAGCAAACCATAAAGTTTTTAATGCCTGGGTCTGTCATTTAAAAAAATAAACAACTTCAACAATACGTCACGACAATTGTGTGTGTTATTGTTTGGGCTGGTGATTTCGGTGTTTATTTATTGAAAACATACCGTAAGTAGCGTTTTTTAAGTTTACCCTGAATATAAATAATAATAATAATAATAATAACGCACACACGCACACACTCAACATAGCCCCGCACTAGGGAAACCCTGTATCGCGGGTGCCATGGATACACACATAGACAACCACAAATTACACCCAAACTCACGAGAGAAATAAATGTAAGCCGTACAAGTATTTCTCCCGGCCCGGGAATCGAACCTGGGACCTCTGCGTGGCAGTCCGGCATGGTAACCGTTCGGCCACGGAGGCAGTTATAAATGTTTATAAACTATACTTTAAGGAGTGATTTCATGGTAAACGTTAGAAACACTCAAACGGAATATTATCATGTTTATCCCAGTACACCAAAAATTTCATTAGAGCTTTTTAAGTGCAGGATTTGCGGTGTATTACTGCATTTTATTTGAGATGTTTTTGTTGGTAGCACGGAGGGTATTTATTTAGCAATACAGAATAATAATTTTTATTTATAAAAACTTGTATTTATACTGAATCCTTTTCTAATTTGCGAAACCAAATAGCCGCCATTTTGCGGTAGGAGGAGCGCATCGCGTGAGCGGGTAAACCAATGACACAATGATTGACATGAGCTCCATCAGCTTATCTCGCCCTCCCCCTTTTAACATCACACGTCCAGACGAATATCCTTACTTGGTCGATAATCCCTTCAGGCGTACTAAGCGCTTTGGAATTCCGTGCCTGCGACTGTGTTCCCAAGCACATACAACTCGAATATCTTCTGGGCGAGTTCGTTCCATCGTAGATCCTATCTTTGCTCCAGAGTAGTGGTCAAGAGCAAGTCCATTTAATTAAAAAAAAAGATAGAACGCTTTGCAATGAAGTTCTACAAATTGATCGAAATTTACTTACTTCTAGGTTAACACCTTTAAAGCAGCAGATGAATTTAGTTTTCTTCTTCAACTTTTTATAAAGGTTGGCATTTATATGGCGTGTAGAATTCACTTTTCAATTTTTCAATTTGACAAATAAATTAAATGTTCTTTTCGGACATATTTTATTCAAAGTATAACAAATGTAACCTGTAATCTAGAGTAAGAAAATTAAGGGTATTTTACTCAACAATTAAGTATTCATGGGTACGGAGATAAGCTCGCAATTTAGGGCCTAAATTGAGGTTAACAAACGTAACCTGTATTTTACGTGGATTGGGTAAAGTTATTATTCTAATGGTGTTTCGATGTTCAGCTGTTGTCCTTCGGAATTGTCTTTCGAGGGAGAGGGAAGATGATTTGCATGGTTAAGGGATTTGTTTGTTTTGATGGAGGGAAGGACGTCTTCTCAGACTTAATGTGTTGTTAAACAGAGTCCAAACTCTTGAAATATGATTTCTTATGTTTATTTATGGTAAGCTTAATTTATGAAATGTAACATTTGTATGAAAACCAAGAAATTTTATTATAACATATTCTTTTTTTAACAATTTGTGGGCCTGGTGGAAAGCGACACGCCTGTCCGCAACAGTTGCAAAACCACTCAGAGCTTTAAAACGCAAAGGGATACTACCACCACGCCTGTCACCCTGATACATTAGTTGACAAGCCCCATGTGCCTGCAATTTCACCAGCTTCCTTCAAAATCGGAACGCAATAATGTATTACTGCTTGGAGGCAGAAATAGGTAAGGTTAGGCAGTACTTCCATGGGCTCTTTTTCACAAGCAACTCTACTGCTACTAAAGTTACTATCACTTTTACAACATTCAAAGTAGACTAAAAAGTGGTAGCCTGTATAAAATCGGTTAATAATTGCCATAGTTTATATAACGAGTAGAGGGTTTATTATTTTTCCTATTAATAAATAGCTTGAAAGGCACATCTTTTTAAAGACCGTAGTAGAGAAATCTAAAATCCTATTAAGCCTATCAAGTTTCAAATACCAATTTCCAAAGTTAAGAGCTTTCCATTTGTCTAAAAATTGGGCCCTTTGTTTGGAATCCATTGATGCTCACTTTACAGCTTGGGACAGAAATAGGTAATAGTGGCAGTACTTCCCTGGCCGAACTCTTTCTGAAGGAGCTCTAATGCTTGTGAAACCTAGAAAAAAAAAGACAGCCAAGAACTACTCTGATTAAATTGGCGTTGAAGTAAAAATCAGTGGCTTCAAACTCGTTCCGCTCTTTTTGAATCAGTGCGCAGTGGTTAAATAAATTTCTAGAACAGCTTTATTACCTCTGCAGCAGTAACTATATCTATAAGTAATAACGGATTTTACATAATCTGGCTATTCCGAATCAATTTCACTTAAGGGTCCTTTCGTCGAAGATTTATTGGCTTAGGTCCTCAACCCTTGAAACTGAATACTAATAACTGACTCAGTTAGGGTTAGAAATTTATGTTCCTTCGTCAAATCATAAAACCACGGTTGAAGTAAGCAGAATTATTCTCACTAAATTTCTTGATGGTTCACTATTTTTTTTTTATTATTAAATTAGGGATATGGAGGAGATAAAGAGAAGGTTCTCAATGCGAGGGTATTTTTTTGTGCGTGTGTTATTGTTCCGGCATTTGTGAACCGATTTTGATAATTCTTTTATGTTGGAAAGGGTAGCTCGGTAAATTTGAAGAAAACATTCCACTTCTAAGGGTGGCAAACTAAGGGATTAGTATGTAAGTAGTCAGGCGCGTGTTGCTACACCACAAGCGTGGAATAAACCAGTGCATAAGAAGTAACGGGCCGTTTCACTCGTGTTACACGGATTTACCAGGGGTGAATGCTTGGATTCAATTGACAAGCGTGCCAAAAGGCTTATAGGTGACTCAGAATTAGTAGAGGCAAAGCTGCAGAGCTTTGAACACCGCCGTAAAGTTGCCTGCTGATAGGCATTTTACAGGATATATCACGGAGAGTGCTGTGCGATGGAATTACACGATTTAATTCCGCCTTCCCATTTTCATCACTAGGCGTAGGGTTGACTTCCATCCCTATGTTGTGGATATTCCAAGGATTCGCAGAAAGCGTTACTCTTCCACATTAATATGCCGAACGGCTATGGGGTGAAATTCCCTGCCTGCAGGCTTGTTCCCTGAACGTTATAACTTGGACCTTTTAAAGACGGGAGTAAAGGCATTATTTAGGTGTGCATGCTCCACTGGCGACCTCATCGTTACTTTCAATCAGGTAAGATGGAGGTCAAATGCATACTCACATTTGAACTTTAAAAAAATCCGGTTTCGCTTAGTTTACTGTCGGTTTTTTTAGTACTCTGCACTGAGATTGTTAAAACATAATTTTTTGTATCTATATTTATTTTTCTATTCTGAATGATGTATATGTAAGGTGTTTTAGATTATATAGAAGGCATTAAACACACAACTATAATTTAAATGCTATTTCAATGGATATTTTAGTTTCAAAAAACATTATGTCATATCTTCAAATTATTGATTTCAAAAAACTAATAACACTGACATGTCAATTTATTGCATATGATTAAAATTAGTACTTTAAGAATTAATATACACACTATACATTTATTCATTAAATTATTTAAAACGTTTTATCGATATACCTCATCTCTAGCAAATGCAGTGTAATGAAGTAACATTTGCAAGTTGTCGTAAAAGGAATGAATTTAGAAACAAATGTTTTTTTCTAGAAATACGTAAATTAGTACACGTCGTTACAACGTGATACTTTGTAGATTTTTATAAACTGTCACACGGATCATCGTAGATTATTTTTAGTATAGATAAATATTTGTGTTCTGCAATGACAATTATTATTAAGTTCAATAATCTCCGCACAGAGTACTAAAAAAACCGACCGTCTATTTGCTAAGTTTTATTGAAATATCCCCTAGTTCGCCACTATACAGGACTTGGCGCTGGAAATAATAAAAATAGGTTCTCACTACGACACTACTCAAAGTATATTCAGAGAAAAACGCCTTGAATGGAAGAAATAGCAAAATCAACCATTAAATTAATTGCTCCTAAATTAAAGTTAGGCGCTATTTATAAAAGTGAATCTTAATGCGTGAACAGCCACCCTTCGAGGTGGATGATTTTCTTCAAAATGAAATGGGACCACTATGGAAGTACCCCCTTTCCAACAAAAAAAGAATCATGAAAATTGGTTCACAAATACAGTAACATACATACAAAAAAGAACATGCAGTCGAATTGAGAACTTCCTCCTTTTTGAAGTCGGTTAAAAATCACCATCTTGTGGCTCGAGTATAATAAAGCTTTCAGTTAGCCGTCCTACAGGCGTGGAAGCACAATAGCGTGCCATTCTAATCAAGAAATCTAATCGAATCGATATACAAAACACCTCCGCTTTTATGCAATAAAATATGTTGTCAACAACTTGCTTGCGTGTTTTAAGATACAATTAACGCCATCTATTGGCGTTAGTTGTATCTTTAAACTTAATATGAAGAAGGGTCATAGATTGTGGTGTTGTGATGTTATATTCGCAGCAAAAACATTTAGTCAGTCAAACGGTGTGCTTAATAAATTAAATACCAAACCAATATTCGAACATTTCAAATGGACACAGTCTTTGGTAAAGATTCCGGA